TTCCTTCATATGCCGCTGTAGAGCTGCTCGAGAACCCAAAAGTTTCAAGCATAATTTACATTGAAATTCCCTAAGCACTTCGGCCATATCTGCACAATATTAAAACATATTGCATGTAAAAATACAAGAAAAATAAAGATGGAAATATTGCATTGCTTGCGAATGAATTACACGCCATTACCGCTGTGCATCCTCTTGATGTGTACTTTCAGTTTTTGTGGCTGGCAAAATTTGCGGCCGCAGAAATCACATAACGGTCGCGCCCGATGCGGATTCTGTGAGCATCCGTAAGTTCGGTGCATTTCTAAGTAATTCAGCCTTAAGAAAAACTTTTTACAATATTGACATTGGTATGCGCCGCGACCCTCGTGCAACTCTGCTGCGTGTTTCATAATATTATCCTTGCCGAGCACAGTAGCGCCACAAACCTAAAAAATGAGAAATAATAATCCAATAATCTAAGAGCAGTCAAATATTTTGTGTGTGTGTGTGTGTGTGTGTAAAACGGTAAATATGGTAAGTACCTTGCAATGATATTTTCTTATCGTCAAACTATAATTCATGTCGTGAAAGATACAGCAATGCAATCGATAATATATTGAATGTGCAAAAATAAGATTGCATCCTCCACAATCTGAAAGAGATACAAACGATCATGAAACAATCTGAAAGAGAGAGAGAGGGAGAGAGAGAGGGAGAAAAAGAAATTAATTATTAGTTGGGTACACTCTATATACACTTACTCGTTTTATTGATTTTATTCTTTCTCGTCCACGTGGAAGATTGCGACTCTACCCAATAAGTCAGCTCCATTCCCAATGCGATATTCTTAGTTGTAACGAAATATAATTGGCCATGCTTAGCAATCACCGCGAGGCTTCTCTTCTCTTTCGTGTCAGCTGGTCTAATGTATCGAATCCAATTGCTTTTTAATGGATCCGTAGTGCTGATATATGTACTCTTTCCATTATTATCTATCTGAAAAGAAAAAGATTCATTCAGTTTTACAATACTAAAATTCCAATGGATCAAAATGTTTGTCTGATAATACCTCCCAAATATGGCGCATAGAGAAATCATCCGGAATGTCCATTTCTCTAACCGAGATGCCGATAAGCGGACCAAACTTGGCATACATTGGAACCGGGTTCTTGGCATAGATACCGAGACCGTGATCGGTATTTGCAATTTTCAATTCAAGGCAATCCGGGAGAGAATCTCTCGCGTATAGCGGTCGATCCGTCTCTACTACAAGCTGCTTCTCCTCCCTCTGCATCTTCGGTTTGGCCTTGAATTGTTCGCTGGACGTTGGAGATTCGTCATCCGACTCGAAGCCGTCGTACGTTAATCTGCCATAACCCTCCGACATTGGATCCTCCGATGCGACGGCTTTCATTATCTCCGAATTCTCCTTATGTCTGCTCAACCATTTTTCGTAAGAGATGGTATCGGCTATCGCGTACTGTGATGTCGTCAGAGGACAGGCGTCCTGCAAATGACGACTGTTGCATTCCTGGCAAAGCTTGATCTTGATCGCGAGTCTTTGTGGCTCGGACGCGACGTCGTCGGTACTATCGACGATACTCTCGGGGCTGCGACCGTTCCGCGTTTCCGCGTCCTCGGCGATCCTGCCAGAAGATCGGGTTTCTGCCCGATCTGTCGAAGATAGCAGCTCGGCCGTCTCCGGCGGACACGCGTTCCGTGCCTCTTCCTGTTTGACGATGCCGTCTTGCGGCGCTTTTCGTACATCGTGATGCTTTTTGCTCTTGTGCTCGTTCGTATGCTTGTGCTTTTTTCGCCGGTGCTTAAACACCGTCGGCTCGTCTAAAGCATTATTTTCCGAGACATCCTTCTCTGGAATTTGCACATCGTGACGCGGACGTTTCCGTCTCCTTTTACGATTCTCCAATTTACGATTCTCCGCGTCTTCGCAGTCGTTGGACGTTACGTCCTTGTATTCGTGCGATTCCACGCAACACATCGATTTGGCCTCGTGTTCCTTCTCAGGTGCGTCAGCAGCACGCGTCTCGACTGCACTGGTTTCGTCGGCACTGGGATGCGGTAAGTATTTTACGTTTGCCTTGTTCACATTCTCAGTGTTGTATCCGTGCTTTGGAAGAGACGTTGTTGTTGCTGTTGTGGTTGTATCGGCAAAATGCAGCTTAGTAATAACATTATTCTCCAAGGTATCCTTATGCGAATCGCCAGGTACACCGATTACGTTTTCCTCGCACCTGGTGTCGCTGTTGGTTGTACTATTTACATCGTTTTGAATTCTAACGCTATCTACGTGATCAGTCTTGGTCGTAGGGGGTTTAACTTGTTTTGTATCGATTCCCAAGTCTTCTACATCTAACGTTAATTTAGGATCTAATTCACTGATTACGGCGGTCTCGTGATTACTCGAATCTCTTTGAGATTGGCTCGCTGCCGAACTGTTTCGCAGATCTGTTGCATTTCCGCTGATACATTCAAATCTGTCTAGTTGAATAGAACCACTATCTTGAATGCCATTCTTCAAGTGTCGCCGCTTTTTCCGCTTATCCTTGCGATGTTTCGTCTTGTTCTTGTGGTGCTTCGACCTCGAACTACGTCGTAAGTGCAACTTGATCGCATCGTCCGACACCTCTGACACATTCTCGCTTATCACAGAGGCAGAAGTATCAAGTAGGATCTTGTTTGACGCAGTATCTTGTTTCGTTGAACTCACTTTCGTGAGAACAGGTTCTTCCTTATCCAAGCTTTCAGCCCCGACAGCTTCCTCCTCATCCTGATCGCTATGTTTCCTCTTCCAGTTCTCTGCTCCATTGCATTTACCTTGTTGCCTATACAAGCATAAAAAGATGTACATATTAGAAGCATTACTTGTATTTCTCTATCTCTTACGCTTTTTATTTGCATAAATGTGTCGTATGTCGTATCTCGAACATCGATCTCATTACATTGGAATAAGAGTATATTAGAAATAAGAAATTAATTTGTCTCCAAGATGAAAATTTTATTCACTAAAAAATATTACTCTGCAGAAACGAAAGGAATAAAATGTCAACCATAATGATTATTCCCTGAATAGGCGAAGAAGGCGAATGACGCTATTTGTCAGCCGCGATTTTCGAAATGTGCGCCTTCCGTAACGGGATATCGATCGATTTCATTTTGCATCCAGTTTACCCTCCTCGCCGACCGAACAGTACGACATACATACGTACGTATATACATACATACATACGTAACATACATTGTCCCGCAAGATGGCGATTCGTTGAAACGCGTTCCTACTGAGAGTACTAGAGTAGGGGGGAAAGCACCGGGCGATTGAACGCGGCGAAACGCGTGACAGCTAGATGTAAGGTGAGCTGTGAGCCAGCTCAAGCCAGCTCGAGTCAACTCAAGCTCAAGCCAGCTAGGACTGAGCCACTGAGCAGGCTGAGCTTGAGTTATGTCTTGACGAGTTGTTGTCGGATGAGCGACAAGACGATGCGATGCGATGCGATGCGATGCGATGCGATGCGATGCGATGCGATAAGATACGATGCAATGCAGTTCGTTGGCGTCGTCAACGTGGTCAGGCATAGGAAACGTACTTACGTACCTAGTTAACCTAGTAGTGGTTGTGGTTGTGGTTGTGGCGGTGGTGGTGGTGGTGATGGTGGTGGTAGTGGCGGCGGCGGCGGCGGTGGTGGTAGATTCTGCGAGGTCCAGCAAGTACACCGCGACATCATCGTCCGCCGTGAAACCTAGGCGTCTTCTAAGCGAGAGCCAACGCTTGCTGTTGGTCAGACCGATATGCACGCAGTGCACGCTGCGAAGGTGCTTGGCTGGCACCACTTCCGAGAGTTCCGAGAGTTCCGAAACCGAGAGAGTCGTCGCTGCCGCCGCCGCCGCACCGGGCGGCGGTGGCTGTAATTGTTGCTGGGTACTTGTCGCGTTCCCCAACTCCCTCAAATGCCGCGTGCCCTTCTTCGGCATAACTATCAATAACTACATCGTACAGATCGCGGCTACGAGAGCTAAGCTGGGATACGATATGATACGATTATACGAAGGCGGATATTCGGAAACAAAGCTCCGCGAACGGCGAAAAGGAGTAAAGGACACCTCCGCCGCGCCGCGGGAGGACGCGCACCGATATTATCCTATCCTCTTTATGCTCACCGCCGCACCGCCGCACCACCGCCACCGCCACCGCCACGGGCCACGGCCGCCCACTCCACACTCCACCCACTTCACCCACCCTGTCATCTCACTCTCGTACACGCTCTCCCTCTCCCTCTCCCTTTCTCTTCCATTCTACTTTATCGATCCCACGGCCGTCGGCCACGGACTACCGCGGAACGGACGGCACGGCCGCGTGAGCCGAGAGATGCAACGCGCGATGCTTTACGCTCCCCGCCATTCCCGCCAATCCCGCCAATCCCGCCATCCGTGATACATACCGTCAACACTGTGAACCGTGATTCGACCATTCAACGTAGACTCGACCGGCCCGGCCCGGCCCGGCCCGGTTCGGCTCGGCTCGGCTTGGCTTTTATGACCGCGATTACTCCACTCTTGCTTATCGGCGCGTCGAAAAAAAAAACACAAGTCAATTTCCTCTCAATGAGCATTTCCATGTATTTTAATATATTTAATGCCACCGATTGAACGGAGATCAAATGCGAGAACGATGCGAAATGAGAGGATGAGTAACGAATCAAATTGTTACTACCTTCGAATTTCGATATATCGCGATCAAGTGCAATTCCTGCTTTCTGCATATACATATGTTTTATTTGATTCCCTATCCTCCTATGTCGACTTCTCTCAACTTAATTATGTTCAGACAACATCTTTTCTATCCACTGCGGTTATTTCTCACGTCCATCCTAAACTCAGTGATTCAATTTACATATTGTACGGAAATACACACATGCACATCGCTCTCGCGATTACGTGTGCTCGATCGATATATTTCTCTTTTATTTTGTTGGTATCACTGCATTGTGCGGCTACCATCTATCTTCAGTTGTCTGCGCTTCTCTCAAGAAATTGGTGCGATCGGAGAATACGAAGGCAGGCGAGTCGGGCGAGAGAGAATATATTTACGTGCAAGTAGTACGTGTATTGTATCCATCAGTGTAGTAAAACGCGCGACGAGATATGTCACGCGTGGCGATCAAGACGATCAATTGGGCGGCGCTTGCCCAAAAAATTCCAGAAACGGAAAAAACTGCATACGCCGCTTTAAAATCTAAATCTGATCAGTATTTGCGACGGTTAGTCACTTTTCATGTCACTTTCTTCCGAATTTGATCCATGTTGCACGCAAGTCATTATATAATATGTCTAGATCTCTTTCTGATAACAATTAAATATTACTTTAATTGGATGTACGCACACTGTGTATACGAAAGAATTTATTATCTCGGATGAAAGATTTTCTATTTGCTGAGAATTATTTAACCTATCTATACACAAGCTCTGTCCTTGTAAGAGGAGTAACCTCTTATTAACTTTGTGCTATTCCATGTATCTGTTAAAATATCTGTTGAGACATCATATCATTCGTACGTTTAGCCTTTTATAAAATATTTACGGAATTATTTTATATTCAAGTATCATCCTTGGAATATGAAAACAATATGTTTCCTTGTTACAATATGTTAAAGAATATTGTAACTAGGAATATGTATGTACGTGTATATATTTTTTTTGTTTCTCTTTATATTTCTCCATCTGATTTCTCCATAGACTGAATGAGAATCCAGAAGCTCCTCCAAAAATCGATTGGGTGTACTATAAGAAAATTATTCCAATAGTTGGATTAGTCGATAAGTTTCAAAAGGAATATGAGGCTCTCAAAGTGCCGTATCCAGTGGATAAATATACTTCTGAAATTGAAGTTGAAGAAAAGAAAGTGGTACAGCATTTACATTATATTATGACATTTACTTTGCATTTTGTGTTTAAGCTCTTTTCTAAATTAAGGATATATTATAGCATATAAAAATCGAAGAATTTATCACTGAGTCAAATCAACGCATCGCTGCTGCCAGTAAGGAAATCAATAGAGTAAAGAATTTATTGCCATTCGATGAAATGACGATGGAAGATTTTCGTGATGCCTATCCGGATCTGGCTATAAATGTTAATAAACCATCAATTTGGCCGCATACACCCGATGTACAGCCAGAGAACGATCCAGGAAAACGACCAGACGAATACTACTAATACTACTTTGTAATGCGTTCAAATATGAAGCGTAGTCATTTTTTAGCGTATGATTTTGGACTGCGTGCTAAGTTAGAAAAAATTATCTTTTGTTTGATTATTGTCATATGTACTCAAATATAAGTTTATCTATACAATAGAGATATATATATCTATATCTATATATATATCTATATATATATATATATATGTATATACGTCTAAATGTTATCCTTTTTTTGTATCCTTTTACATATTTTGATGTACATACAAGATGTAGATATATTTTAGTATAACCAAAAAGATACGATTTTTAAGTTTAATAAAATTATCATTGAAGTATCAATGATGTATAAAATTAGATATTGACAAATTGCTAACCTAAAATTTTACATTTATAAATATTTATATTACTGCCCTCTGGGTATTAATTATGTAACTTTTTCTCTAGGCCGTGATCGATTCATGCTCCAATCCGAGAGAGAACATGATGGCTCAAAACCTGTAAAATGCCACGCACTACACCTTTGACAAAATGGATGTAAACTACATAGTTACATCTACTTTTCTTAGGGTACATACATCGTTCACTTTTTAAATCGATCTTTGATTCATATAATCATGCTACATGTAACATAATTATAGAAATTAAATATCGATTTATCATCTGCAGTCTTGAAAAGTGGACGTTGTTATGTAGTTTACATCCACAGCGATTGATCAACGCCATATCTTTTCCTAGCCAATGAGAATGGAGACATTATTGACCGGACTCTTATTTCTAGGGTCCCTAGTGCAGGAACAGAAAATAGACCAGTAATAAATATGACGTTCTTTAGAGAAAAAACACTGCGCATGCGCAATTCGATAGATCTCTAATTGGATGTATATCAATTGTCCACGTCACTAATTGGCTAATTTAATATAATATAATCTCATAGGTGAAGCAATGAAAAATTACTAGGAACAGGCCAATGTGAGTGATGTGTGCAAGTGCACCGCTTCCTCTCTAATTTAAAACGTTAGTAAAAAAAAATTCCTATATAATCCTTTTGGTTAACGTCCAATTTCGTTTATTCTATTTGTTCGTTTGTGGAAACATGGACTTGAAATTCGTTGAAATCACAACGGTTAAGCGGGGCAAAATATCATATAAAGAGTATCATTGATAATTGATAAGTTTCTCTTTGTCGAAGGTAATTGATAATCGCGCACGCGAGAAAGTAAAGGGTATCCTTTCATGCTTGATCCTTGACGCTAATTTTGAATCAAAACAGATCACTTGATCAAAATTAACGTTTGACATGCATCAATTTCATCTCATCCGCATGACTTGTTTTAATGCTAAAAACAAATGTCGAGCGATTGAGCGTCAGCATGAAATTTTACCTTTAAAGACTTAAAAACTTTACGCTGAAACGAAACGAAACGAAACGAAACGAAACTCTCTAGAAGTAACGTTGAACTAGTACGTTATATATATATATATATATATATGTACATATACGTGTGTATGTATGTACATATGGCGTGATTGGCGTGTCAGGCACATCGAAGCGAGTCTAGAGAAGAAAAGATAAGAATCCAGAAAAGTGGACGAACACTGAATGTGTCCTCTCATAACCTTCAAATCTGCATTTTCGTACTTGTATCTTCGCGAGACGATACGAAGCGACAAATTTGCTGGCCTTATTCACATTCTGCACAGCTGATCGTTCATTTACACGAGATTTGTGCGAGATCGGTGAGAAATTATTTTTCGTAAGATCTAAACCTAAACGCTTTGCTAAGAGTTTCAGGAGCGAGGAGGACAGTAACGTTATCAGCAACAGATGCTGCTTGCGCGAAAAATACGTCAACACCGTATAATCGAGAACGCGATTAATGTTATTTAAATTCGCTACGATTTATGGAGCTAGTGACGTTTCATCCATGTGGTTTCATGGATTTTATATAATTTTTAGAAAATTTTAAGATAACACTTTGATACTAAGCACGCTTAATCGCTACAAGAAAAAAAAATGAAATTCATGACACAAGTTGCTTACTATGTTACAAAATTTTCCCACGTAATCCTATATTTGAAAAATACTTGTTTGATTTTGTGAGATAAAAACTAGAATAACACCTAGTGAAAGAAACATGTACGTTTTGAATTATATTGTTTTTGATAACTTATAATATGACATAATATACTTTATACGTATAATTGAGAATACTTGGATCATAATAAATAAATATTTTATATATATTTATTAATGCTAATAAATATTGTAGAAGAAAGATTCTTGATCAAAAGCTGCTTT